CGCCAGGAAGGGGGTATAGCTCAGTGGTAGAGCATTTGACTGCAGATCAAGAGGTCCCCGGTTCAAATCCGGGTGCCCCCTGGCAATTTTGTATTAATTATCATTTTGTTATTGATGATAATAATGAAACTAATTATTTGGTGACGCTGCCGCGACAGCTTTTGTTGTGTTACACAATTAACAGCGAACACAAAATCAACACAATCGTCATTAACGCTTTGACCTTAGACATATATAAAATGGGTGACGTTGCGCGCAGTGTACTATCATTGTGTACTGTGAAGGAGGGCCGTTTGGCTAAAACGTCGCCTATTATACATTTTATTTTAAGGCCACAGTGTTATTGACGAATGCGTCGAGTGCGTTGTGTTAATCGACGTTACGTGAAACTTGTGCATCAATGGTTGCTGTGATATTTTTCCGCAAAATGTAAGAATTAAAGAATCGCTTTATATTTAATCACGTGGCTTGAATTGTAACAATTGCAGTTTACATCCCTTTATCGACCCACTGCTGGCTGCGTGATGATGCCTTGGTGCACAGAAGCGATCCAGCGCTGCGAAGGGAAGGGTTGTGGCGGATCACGTTGAGATTTGTGGCAACTTTTAAAGAGAGCCACTGGGCTACGAGGTGATGGCAGTACAGCAAGTGGGTTGAGGGGGAACGCGTCCGTCTGTGCGGATCAGGATTTGTATTTATCCCGGAGGAATCCGAAGAGCTATGAAGCTCTTTCTCACAGACGCCCAGTCGTGTTCACAGATGTCCAGTGGAATATTTTTTTTCTCCCTCCTGAACATCTTTCTTCCTCCTCCTCCCTCCGACCCCACCACGGCAGTGCATGGTTGTCACGGGATCGGCCAAACATCCCCCAAGCGTGGCGGCTTGACCCCCTTTGAAGGAGTCTCGAGACGTGGAAGATGCCATCCCCCGGTTCGTGCAGCGCCGCCTCGCGACACGCGGACGCACGTGTGAGTGTGCGCGTGTGCGCGTGTGCGGTAAAACAAAAATTCTATAAATTACAAACACATTTTTCGATTTAAAGCTTTCGTGACTGTCGGGATTCATCTTCTTGGTTCTTTCGGTAAAGTCACGTAGAAGGGAAAAAATAAAAAAATAAAACAATAAAATAACATAATAAAAGGATATTTATTTATTATTTTATTATTTCCCTTCTACGTGACTTTACCGAAATCTTTCGATTTAAAGCTTTCGTGACTGCAGGGATTCATCTTCTTGGTTCAAAATAGAATACAACAACAAAATTCAAGAACTACTCAACGATGGCAGCTATACAAGAGACCCCACCAACAGCCTCGTCTCCAAAACCAACAACATCATTTCTGCTTCAACCGCATTAATTGATCAGACCAAACAGTTCTCGTTGAAACCTTCTGCAGCCAGGCCACCAAGATTGTACGGCTTGCCAAAGATACATAAAGAAGATACACCTCTTCGTCCCATTGTCTCTACTATCAACTCCCCCACTTACAAACTGGCTCGTTTTTTGTCCGAAATCCTACGGCCTTTCACTGGAAAAACCACCTCTGCAGTACTAAACTCTACTGACCTGGTATCGACAATCAAGGGGATTGCCCTGTCCCCAGACGACCTGCTTGTCAGTTTTGATGTGGTTTCTTGTTCACCAAGGTGCCTGTGCCTGACACCATCGCAATCATTGAAGACTTGGTTCATCAAGGACTGAATGCTGGGGTACCCCCCCTGGTGAGACACTGCTTAACCAATACATACTTCACCTGGAATGGAACCTTCTACAAGCAAATTGAGGGCACCCCAATGGGCTCCCCCCTATCTCCGGTTGTAGCCAACATCTTCATGGAGAAATTTGAGACGGACGCCATCCAGACTGCCACTCTACGCCCGACCTTATGGAAGAGGTACGTAGACGACACTTTTGTCATCTGGCCACATGGCCGGCCTGCTCTAGACCAATTTCTCGACCACATCAATTCCATACACCCAGCCATCAGATTCACCATGGAAGTCGAAAATGATGGCAAGCTACCCTTTTTGGATGTCCTAATCAAAAGGAGACCTGATGGTTCAATGAGCCACTCTGTCTACAGGAAAGCCACCCACACGGATGCTTATCTAAAACCGGATTCCCACCACCATCCATCCCAGAAGAATTCCCTCATCAAGACTCTATATCATAGAGCCCAATGCATCTCCGACCATGCACACATTTCCAGTGAACTCAAACACGTACGCCAAGCTCTTAAGGCTAATGGTTACTCCGACTACACAATCCGCAAAGCCATCACTCCAACCATCAAGAAGGATCCTGTTGAGGAGCCTTTCAAGACCATCACCTTACCCTACATTGCTGGGGTCACAAAAAAGATCTCCAAAATCCTGATTAAACACAAGATCCAGGTCCGATTCAACACAGTACATAAAATCCGTGATCTGGTCCCGTCTGTAAAAGATGTGGTTCCAGACATACAGTACCCTGGCGTCTACAAACTAAGTTGCCTCTGTGGTAGCAGTTACATTGGAGAAACCAAACGACATGTCTCGGACCGCATCCGTGAACATAAGGCAGACCTGAAACACGGTAGGACAAACACCTCAGCCGTGGCAGATCACTGTTACAATTCAGTGGGCTCACATGACATTGACTTCTCCAAGACAGAGGTTCTCTGCAAGCCATCTGGCTATCATGAGAGATTCGTTCATGAGGCGATCCACATATACAAACACAGAGACAATTTCAACCGAGAAGATGGATTCTGGCTTAGCAATCATTGGAAGGACGTAATAAACCATTTCGGATCTTAACTGATTGTGTTCACGTTAACGGTGACTTTCAGACCGCGTTCCACTCACTGGCATGGTGCAGTGTGCAGAGTAATGTATGGTGTCGTAATTGTACAGTAAACATATAGCAGTATGATACACATTAGGGTGGGTAGAATAATACATAGTGTTATATTAAAATGGATAAGGCAGCAACTGCAGCAGCAGCAGCAAGTGCAGCAGCAGCAGCAAGTGCAGCAGCAGCAGCAAGTGCAGCAGCAGCAGCAAGTGCAGCAGCAGCAGCAAGTGCAGCAGCAGCAGCAACTGCAGCAGCAGCAGCAACTGCAGCAGCAGCAGAAACTGCAGCAGCAGCAGCAACTGCTGCAGCAGCAGTAACTGCAGCTCCCTTTGATGCTGTTAATCCTGCATAATGCACATGCATATGCAGTACTAATTACATTCCTGCATTTCCCATAAATATGCTAAATTCCTGTTGATATGCAAATTCCTTTGTCAATGCGCTCAGCTTATATATATGCTCCAAGCTCGTGTGCTGTTTCATTCAGACTCTGTCGCCTCGACGGACCTGGTTTTCACCTGAGGACGGCTGCTTGCGTTGTGGCCGAAACGTCGTGAGAATTGTTTTACCGAAATCACCAAGAAGATACAAACACATGTTTTTATAATTATTTTTAACAGGTAAGGCCCACTGAGCTATGTAGCATTGTTTGTTGTTGTTGTTGGCCATCACAAACGATAGATTAACGAAGTAAGTGGCTTATCTTTATCGCATGGAAATGTATAGCAGCCAAATACTCTCACCGGACTGTGTGCTTCTCTAAGTGTGGAGAGGGGGGGGGGAAATCCGCGCGGCCACGGGGTGAGAGAGACAGCGCACACTGCGAAATATACAGCAGCAGGCGTCAGGGTCGGGATCGAACCCACGACCTCCTGTATACCAGGCGAGGTAGTTCACATCTCGCCCGTAGGTCGACTCAGCCTTAATTGAGTACCTGATTCGGTGTGAAAATATCAGCACTGGGGAGACAATGGCGGCCGGGTGTGGTTGGCATATTGGGGGTCGATTCCTGGTCACGTTGTACGTCATCAGGCAAGTGGCATCTCAACATGGGCATTGTCTTCCCTCTAGGTCGACTCAGCCAAAAGTGAATGCATGCCACGTTTGGTCGCGTCAGCAGTTGGGAGACAAATGCTACCACGTAAGCTTTGCCTGCCTTCATGATCATCAGCCATGGTCAATCCACTGTTGATGGAAACCTTTGCAAGCCGAGGCCATCTCTCGCGATCCTGCAATGTAATAATCCACCCAGCATATACTGTGGACGAGGTGAATGTATTGCTCCATCTCCTCCGCAGTGGAAGCCTTCACAATAACGTATTTGGTTCTTTCGGTAAAGTCACGTAGGTGAAAATAAAAATAATAATAAATAATAAAATTAGAAATAAAAATAACTAAGTTAATTTATATTCTTGTTTCTTTCGGTAAAGTTACGTAGAAGTAAATAATTGTTTTATATTTTTATTATTTTATTGTTTCCCTTCTACGTGACTTTACAGAAAGAACCAAGAATATGAATCCCTGCAGTCGCGAAAGCTTTAAATCAAATTTAAGTCAATTTAATCATAAAAGAAATAAATATATAAATAAAATATAAATTTACTAAATTCATTTAGTTATTTTCATCTATTTTTATTTTTTTTCACCTACGTGACTTTACCGAAAGAACCAAAGAGTATGTATGGATCCTTGCAGTCACGAAAACTTCTAATCTAGAATTAACGTATTTATCCAGGAGAAACTAAAATTTAAACGCGAATTTGAACAGAAAGAGGTAATACGTTGGTAAGAGTGAAAAGACTTCCAGGGGGAGGAAGTTTGTGTGGAAGCCCGATGCATCGTCGATTATGAACGGGATATCAATAACGATGCATGGGCTGGTTTCATCCTCTTGGTGCTCATCGGCGAGAAACAGCACGCGCAGACGACACCAGGAGTCGGCCAACCAAAATACCAACAGCCATTTATCGAATTTGGTCTTAAAAACAACCTCAATATTTCCTAAGAGCCGCAATGCACTGTGTGGTGGTGGTGGTGGTGGATACGAGACGGGAGTGGTCCCTTGATGAGTAACGGGGTCACGAAGGCAGTCCTCCAAGAGACGCCGCAGGTTGCCGACTGACTGGACCGACACGAAAAGAAACGCGCCACTGTCAAACGTAGCAACGTGTAAGGACATTTATTGCAATACTGTCATCACCTCGCGCCGATGCGCGCGCTTCCTTCACAACGTCTATTTTGTAGTTCAGTCGCGACGACCGGGGCGGCATCCGTTGCACATTCAACGTCACGGGATGCGCCACGGCCTCGCAAGCTCAGCGGGGATTTGAGCCTGGGCGGAGACCTGGTAGTGTGGATCATCGTCATCATCATCATCGCCATGCACAACAGACGGGTTGCAGGAGGCGCCGTGAGCAGGGGAGGGCAATTCAGCAAAACACAATCGTAGTTCGGCACTGCCCCCCCCCACCACCACGCTACTCCCACCTTCACCAAACCCCCATTGACCAGCTCGGTGAAGTATGGTCAAATATCCCTCACGCATTGAACGGTCCGCGTGCACGTGACGGTTCCGTATCAGGTGCGAGTGGCAGCTGTAGTCACTCGCAGCTGGAAGGACACGGGTTCAAATCCTGGTCACGCGTCGACTTAGCCCATCATCATCAATCAAGGTCGATACAAAATAACTAAGTTTGTGCCAAGTCAGCGATACTACCAGTGTCTTGTATGTGCATTGTGCTGGGATGATTTTAGCCAGTTCCACGGTGGCAATGAATTTCAACTCAACAGTGGCGCTTAATTAGTAATGAGTGGTGGGCGCGATCGGAGACTGGTGTGAGAGTGTGGTGGTGGTTGACATCTATTAATCGATTACAATTGAGTCACGTGTATCAGAATCGATGTCTTGCGATGGGTTTACGTGACCCCAATTACAGAAGCCGCTTGTGACCGCTCACCATTCACCGCCAAAATTTTAACAAGAATAGATTCCAAGATTGGAACCTCATTTGCCAGAAGAAAAAATATGATAATTGTTTTTTTACCCTTTTATCTGGCAACAAAACTGACTGCAGGTATTGTGGTCTATGCAAACATGACTCCTTGTAAAAAAGGTGTCAAGTTTTGTTGCCAGATAAAAGGGTAAAAAACCAATTATCAAGAATATATTCCTGAATGGAACGGCACGACCTCGACCACGATACCTCAAACTCGTTGCACGCACGCACCTCCAAGGAAGGACAGATCTCATGGGCAGATGTATCGCCCACTCACACGCGGCGATAACCAAGCACCACTGATACACGTGCGCAAGTAACACGACGAAGCATGCAGGCCCGCGCACTTGAAGGCGTACTCTGCGCTCGGAAAAGCCGCACCGAGTCTCAAGACTGTTTTTCAGGAGCATCATGCCAAGTTTTCGTGGCAGGTAGGCGACATTGTTGTGCATAATCCCGATTGAGTCATTAAGCAGCCAATTTTTTTGTTCAACATTCCAACGTTTTAGCCAATCCCTGTGACATTTTGTGTGTGGGTTGGATTTCGGTGGGTTTTTTTTTTACTCTGGGAGGAAAGCTGTACAGGGTAGAACATAAACAAACTCCGACTCGCCTGAACAGACTGTTGGGTCAAGTTCTGTTATCGAACGTCTAAAAAGGCCGGCACAGTACACGAGGTTGCCAACACCACGCCCGGCCGGTGATGCTTACACAGCACACCAGGTACTAAACTGAGGCTGAGTCGATCTAGGGGAGGCCCAGGAGCGATTCAGATAATCGTCACTGGTGTTGGCCACGAGCGGGAATCGAACCCGAAGTGCCGGGTTCGTAGCGCAGCAACCGCCATTCGCCACTAAGTGGCGGTGATGTCACCACGGCGCTTGTGCCAGGCCATGTGCACCTTAAGGCCACGTGAAGTGTCGACCACCCGCTCACAGGTCACGGGACCAGACCCAGCAGGTGCCATCGGTTGACCGACTGAGTTGACTGGCCGACGCACCAGCTGCGCCCCCAACTGTGCCACTCTCTTGTCACGCACACACTCGGAACTCGCCTAAAACTGGGAACGGCGTCTCACCGGAGACCGATAACACCAGGGATAAAAAAAAGGGCAGATGACCAATGGGCTAAGATAGTACAAGCGGAGCGACCACGCAGTGTGCATAAGCTGGTGTCGGGATAGAAGGCGGTGGTGCTGTGGGTCACAAGAGCATGGGGGACTTGAGATACAAATAATAGCTTGTTTTATAATACAGATGTGGGGGTTGATGGATCACGTATAGATGATGTAGGGGACAAGTTCTGGTCCCCCACCCCCCCCCCCCCGTATTAAGCAGAGCAGAATGTATGATTCAGACCAGATTGTGTGTGTGGGGAAGATTTCAGTGTTCTCCGGGCATTCGGGTCTGCTTCTACACGGCACATAAACACTCGAGGAAATTGTGAAACATCCCTAGCAGTGAAGACTTCCAGAGATTCGCGGTGAGACCTTCTCTAACATTGGCATGCATAGAGACTTAGCGACTGATGTAACGTCTAACGAGGTTCTAGAAGGGTTTGCTTATTTGCACTAAGCATACTCCGAAAGTCAGAGTTCTGGATTTCTTGTTCTCAAACATTATGCCGAGGAAGTTGATTAAACGCTCGTGCTTAATTGTTTAACAAATAACATCCTCCCCGTCGTCACTGAACGAAGTAATTTCTCCAGCGGAGTGTGAAGTTGAAGGCAAAAGAAAGCGGCGGGGCAGAGGGCAGAGGGCAGAGGCCCCCCCCCCCCGCTCGCGGCTGCCAGCGTAACCACCACATCGCGATCCGAGTGCGTGCGCGCAGGTGAACGAGAGCAGGCCGATGGCAGACGCGCCGAGTTTGGTTTAAACGTGTATTCAACGCAGTCGAAGTCAGCCAAAGCAGTCAGCCACGCCTGGCGCGGCTTAAAACAAACACAGAGAGGAGTCCCTGCGTCCCTACAGCATGGATCACCTTGCCTTTACAAACACCGGTAGCCAGGGGCTCGAGCCACTGGTGGCGAGAGAGAGAATGGGATGGGGGCAACACTGAACAAATTGCTACCTACACCCCCCCTCTCTCCCATCACAAACCCACGGCGATTCATGGTCATGATTCCAGAATTGTTTTTTTTACAAGCAACCTGTACGGACGTGATCCTCCGTCCATCCGTCCCTCCCTCCAGCCAGCAAAACTTTTGTTTTAAAATAATAGCATGACATTGTGGCGAATGTAGCAGTCTTCAAGTCGCTGCACAGCGATCTCACATTGCAAACAAAATATATACCAATCGAACAAAAACATCGATTCTTGCGGGACGCGCTGTTCGACGCATGTACGAAGGGCTTTGAGAATCGATGGCGCCGACGATGAATGAATGAATGCATCGATGCGTCGTCGTTTACGCACTCGAGACGGGTCGTCGTTGTGACGCGGTTTCAGCACAAACCTAAACTCCTTCCACGCCACCCCTCGCGATCAAACTCCACCAAACATTCGACACTTCGCCTGGGCCCAGGCAATGCTTAGAGGCATGCAGCACCATCACTGGTTAATAATGATAACAATAGTAATGATAATTGCAGTAATAACAACGATAATGATACAATAGTAAAAAGTATTATCGTTACACATGTACACGCGAGTTGTCCGTTTGAACAGCATCCAGGGCGGCTGGGCTCGTATAAATAAAAATACCAAAAGACGTCGCTCCAGAGTTGTACAAAGCGTTACACATTTACATATTAACATGACAACGTGGGATGTCACGGAGACCCCGGAGATTGTGGAAGTGAGGAGCGGGTTGGCAGGTGGGGGGGGGGGGGGGGGGGTGTGAGTGATGGCCAAGACGTGCTCGTGTGTGCGTGGAAGAGCCCCTCCACGTGTGTTTGGGCCACTTCCCACGCACGTGGCGAGTCTTGTCCAGGTTAGAAGTAATCCACTCCCCTTCCCCCGTGTCACCGGGCCAACACTGCAATTCGATGAAGGTCGCAACTCGAGGGTCGTGGAGTTGTAATCAAGAATGTATATACTCTTGATTCGTTTAACAGTGCAGTGAGTAGGATGGTAGCGCCCCCCCCCCCCCCCCCCCCAGTGGCTGCAGAGGTGACGTGAACCCCGCAACAAACAACGCGAGTCGAAAAAGCACATCGAGATTCTTGCAGACACAACACCCATGCATGCATCGCGAACGTAGGAGTCGATATTAATTGATCAAACGATGTAATGCAAATGAGCCTGGGTGGAATTTGCACTTGCTGGATTGAGCAATGCGCGGACGCAAATACCCGGGGACACGTTGACGACCTCCTCCGCCAACGTCGAGCCAGAAGATTCGGGGAACCGATTTTCCGTCTCCCTTTAAACCGCCTTGCGTGTACGTATACGCAGTGCTTGGCGGTCGCCCATCATCCAAGCACGAGACGTGATGGGAACTGCCGAGCTTGCGATATCCGACAGGATCGGGCGCCTCGTGGGTCATGTGGTCATTGGCTCCACTGCATTTGTAACATTTACATCAATCGTGTAAAACAAAATAAAAAGCAATTCTCACGATCAAGTCGTCCAGCGAGCGTAGAAAGCCAATGTTAATCAATCGTATGGTTACATGCCAAGTATTTTAATAACGAACAACGCCGGGTTTGATTCCACCTGCCAGATTGAACAACAATGCCCGAATACCTCTCATGCGTTTTACTAAAACACCCGGACTGGACTCACGAGAGCTGCCACAACAGTGTTGCCGAGCATTGGCCTTGCATAAGTGTCCGGTCGCTTGATTTGCCGCGATGTTTTCGCCCGCGTCTCTGTGCCATGTGTAAGTGGTGGTATATCGGTGGTGGTGTAGCGGTTAGCTCCATTATTTTTCGCCCGCGTCTCTGTGCCATGGGGAAGTGGTGGTGGTGGAGCGGTTAGGGCGCTGCGAGCCCGGTGACCCAGAGTTCGATTCTCGCTCACGCCTACCACACCAGTGACGATTATCAGAACCGGTCCTGGGCCTCCCCAAGGTTGATTCAGCCTCAAATGAGGCCCAGGTGTGGTGTGTAAACATCGCCATTGGGGAGACAAAGGCGGCCGGGCGTGGTACTGGCCACCCACCCCCTCGTGTACCGTTGCTGGCCTTCAGAGGCGTTCGCAAACAGCAATTGCTCGAAGTCTGTTGAGGTTATACGGCGAATATTTGCCTTCGTGTACGCATGGACACCAGGACCATTGGGTTAGCCTGGCCACCGTTAATTCCCCTTTTTCACTCATACATCCGAGCCATGCCAGAGTGAGGCCCTCACGGTAATGGATAGTTTTTTCACTGGCAATTTTCCGAGCCAAGCCAGGGCCAAACTGTAAAACTGGCCTCACAAGACAGGTAAGGCCCACTGAGCTATATACCTCTTTTTCACAAGCGACCTGGCCACAAATGATAGCTCAACGAAGTGGCTTATCATGTGCAAAAATACTCTAAACGCATGTTGATTCTAAATGTGGAGGGAAAAAACAGAGGACCCGGAGAAAAAGCCACACGACCACGGAGAGATCATGCAAACTCTATACAGACACTCATACAGGCGTCAGGGTCGGGATCGAACCCACGACCTCATACATACCAGGCCACCATGGCGCCCTATACGAATTTGGCTCGGGACCAAGTAGGGTCAGGGGTAAGGTTAATCGTTTTCATCGTACGCATGACCTACATACGACTCTCGACTCGTTCATTGTGAGTGACATCAGTAAGCACTGCTCGGCTTCTGCAGTGGAGAAACCTGGCGCATGGTGAACCGCGCTGGGCTAGTTCGGCACGGCTTCGGTACGGGTCGCTTGTAAAGTGACAAAGAGACCACGATGAGATTTTGTACAACAATTGCAATAACAGCTCCGAGTCATGGCAATGGAGCTTCAAGTTGGGTTCTTGTTTGTCACGAGTTTTACATACATTAAGAGAAACCTAAACAACACCAGGCTTATCAGTCCAGTAAGTGGCTGAAGCAGTTCAGGGTTGGGGTTAAGATTGACCCTGGTTGATATCCGGATACCGGCCCTGTTCAGCCATCCACCTGACAGTTTTGTTTCCTTTCAAAATTGAGAAGCTGGGACAAACAAGAAGCCACCTCTTGGACTCGATGCGGACACTCAGTCTGTGCCACGTGCTCACACCGACTGGGGCAGTCGACAGCCGTTGCAGCGATTGGATGTTCCGAAAAGAGTGCCCCGAGTTTAAAAAGGGGCAGGACAATAAGGCCCGGTTTTAATTGCTTATTTTTAATGCAATAACTTTTATTACAAAAAAAATACGACGCCCAGCACAGCTGCAGTGAACAGCTGCTGGCTGCTTCACCTGTTCATATGCCAAACCCACCGCTGCGTCACAGCTGCCTTTATTCTCAAACATAAATAAAGGGGACGTGGCGTGCAGGCATTGGGAGATGAGAGGCGCGCAGAGACTGCGGGTGAAACAGTCGAGCAAAGGACCTCAAAACGTAGCAGGATTTTCGCACAATCTAAAAAAACCATCTGCGGTAACGACAAAAATACTGTAACAAAGAACATCGCAAGCCATCAGCTAATCATAAAACCCCGCGGCCGTGAACACGGCGAGTCTGGAAATATTGTGGTTTCCGATGATGGTTCTCAACCTCAGGTCTTTGGGGAGCAAAAATAAACGAATGTGGGCTAGAATTCACATGTCCATTGAACCATCAGCTGTGTTCAAAGCCCCAGGGAACACGAGGCCTCTTATGCCACGATCTTTAACGACCAAAAGTTACGTTATTTTGATAAAGTTGCCAATAGATATTTGTAGATTAGCCAATGACAACTTGAAATTAAATTGTTGGCCTTGGATAGAAAAATAAGTTTGTAAAGTGTGGAAGACACACCGTGACGCTGAAATGATCACACTTTTCAAAGAACCCAAAAATATACCAAATTTACTAAAATTTCAAGACAAAGTGGCTTCTTCGTGTTGCCATAGCTTAGCATGCACCCCGATCAAGTGCACACACACAACAACCGCCATTCGCCACTAAGTGGAGGTGACGTCACCGCGGCGCTTGTGCCAGGCTATGTGCACGTTGAGGCCACGCACACACCCACACGCACATGCACCCACACATACGCACAAACACACAGGTGGAGGCAAATCTGTCGGCATGAAAACGTTGCTTAGGTTGAGAGCTCCCGAGGCCTGAAGCTGGGAACAATCCACGCCACCGTGGTGCTGCTCGTAAACACGACCGACCAGAGACACGCGCGAACTAAAGCCGACGGAGCGAGGGGGGGGGGCGTCTGCACGACGCGGCGCGTCACGGCGGAGACAAAACCAGCCGCGAGCTGCCGCCAGGACGTGCGGTTTCCTTGGAGGTGGCTGGAGGAGGGGGGAGAAGCCCGCGGAGTAATTCTCGAGAAGTAGCCACAACGCCGCTGCCACCCTCGACGCTTACACCCCCCCCCCTCTCGCGCGCGCGGCCCACGGGAGGCTCCGAAGGGCAGCGCCGAAATCCGTGATGTCGCAGGTTTTAGCGAGAGTGACGCTCGCTTCCTCGCACCTTCGGAGATGTGTGTGCGGGGGGGGGGGGGGACACCCACGTTTTGAATTGACGTGTGGCCCAGCGATTAACTTGCATCCAGGCGCAGGCGACCGCTATGGGCGTTCAGGACACTTTTCTGCGGCCACTTGGCCGCTAGCTCGCCGTGGCCGACAGAACTCCGTGACAGTTTTAAGTGTTGTTGAGAGCGAGGGGGGAGGGGGTAGGGGAGCTGCGGATGGTGTAGGCGAGCAGGGGAGTGGTCAGGCGGGCGAGCGGGCGAGCGGCCTGACGAAGCGGTGGGAGCTGGGGGAGGATGTGGACGGTCGTGAGAGAGAGAGCACTTTGCGACGTCACGAAGCCCACTTCGGCAGGACACAGCCTCCAGTGACCCGCGTCGTTCAAGTGTTTATCGTTCAGATGCTGGCTCATTACAAACGTTCCAGGGTCATTAGTTGTCCTGTTTGCGAGTGTCTGTCCTTTTTTTGTTTCTTTATTAACTTAATATGTTTTTATACGTTGTGACTGAAATGTCTCTCGTTAACGAGCAATGTTTGTATTTTATTTTCTCTTCTCATTTCCCACGATGGTATGCCAACCGTGTTGACGTATTATCTTACACCCAGCTCGGAAGTCATCCACTCTAAGCCCTGATAAAGCCTGTAGGAACACACAAATACGCACGCACACACACAGACAAACGTATTCATGTATAGATACGTGCAATTATACACGTAACAACAACAGTGCCAGTACGTATCTTGAACTTCTTTCGCACCGTACGTAGCGGGGTTAGATATTAGGTTTAAGGTAAAGGGTTTGGGGTCAGGATTAGAAGGTATAGGTGTTAGTGAAAGCTTGGGATTGTTGTTATCGTTAAGGTTTATGGTTAACTTTTTATGGATTACTTTTTAGTTATTTGTGCTATGTGTTTTGGTGCGATTTCTTAATCTGTTGATTCATTTTTGAGTTATTCTTGGTAGCAGGGGTTGTCATGTGCTTGGTATCTATGTGTGTGTTGGGCTACTTTGGCACCGTGAGTAGCCAACCGCGTATATGGGATTTGGTCCTCATATATAATTAATGTATGGCGTTGTCAGATGCTGTTGGCATGAATGACGATAGAGTATTATTAGGTGTTAGAATCATGGGTTAGTTCGGAGTTCGAATCAGAATCAAGGGATAGGGTTAGATTCAAGCTTTGGAGTTCCGCGTGAAGGTTGGGGGTTAGATTTGAGGTTAGCGTTATGTAGCTCTTTTTCAGAAGCAAGCTGGCCTCAAATGATAGCTCAACGAAGTGGCTTATCATGTGGAAATCTATAGCAGCCAAACACTCTAAATGCGTGTTTCTAGATGTGAAGGGTAAAACTGGAGGATTAATTGTAGATTTGAAGTTTTCGTGACTGCAAGGATCCATACTCTTTGGTTCTTTCGGTAAAGTCACAAAGGTGAAAATAATAAAATATAAACCCTTGTCAAAGCCATCTCTTTGGCATACCTCAGCAACTGTTTTCGCTATGGTGGTCCCCACCCGAAACGTAGTGATTTAATTTAGTTGTTTTCACTTTTTTATTATTATTTTCACCTACGTGACTTTACCGAAAGAACCAAAGAGTATAAAACTGGAGGACTCGGGAGAAAAATCTACACAGACCAAGGGGAGGGAGACACCGCAAACTCCAAATATACAGCGGGCGTCAGAGTCGGGATTGAACCCACGACCCCCTGTATAACATGCGAGGAAATTAACATCTCGCATTAACGGTAGGGGTTGAGTGGGTATCCGGTAGTGCAGTCACACTCACCCCTCTCCCGTGAGGGCACAGCAGGCCTGGATGTGCCACGGGTGGTCCTTGAAGGACGTCAGCTTCAGGTACTGGGAAATCTCCGCGGCCGACATGCAGCCCTTCATGTCCTGCTTGTTGGCGAAGATGAGCACGGATGCCTTGCGGAGATCCTACCAGCGGCAGACAGGTGGCAATGCAGAGACAAAGAATTCCCCCCATCCGTATAGCCTTTACCAGACTGCAGAGGCAAGTGCTGTCACAGAGAGCATCTAAGAAGGCCAACAGGGCACACGAGGGAGCGGGTGGCCAGCACCACACCCGGCCGTCTTTATCTCCCCAGTGTTGGCATCTAAACAGGTACTCCAGGTACTCAATTAAGGTTGAGTCGACCCTAGGGATGGCCCAGGACCGGTTCAAATATTCGCCACTGTTATTGATCGTGAGTGTAGTGTGCGAACTGGACAAACACAAAGATTCCTCCGACAACCACACAGACTGACGGAGGAGGCAAAAGCTGTCATAGCAAGCACCGATCAAGAGCAAAACGCCATACAAGTGGATTGTGTGGCAAACATTATGCATCACATCACATACGCATATTCAGCTTACGTCGACCTAACTGAGGCACAGAACAGGTTCATATACCAATTGTCAGCGATATGCAGGTAGACACACCCACTCATACATTGGTTATTCACTGGTACATGCCGTTTTAATGAAGGCATCTGCACACAAAAGTAGTTGATGATAAGAAGGTAAGTGAAATCTTCACGATGCCATCGTCCCACTGCTATCGATTGTTCGCAACACATCACCGTCACTTCCTTCTGCCGAATCCCGCAAACGCCGCGCGGTCGACACCCAACCTCCCAAGGCTCGGTTGGGCACGCACAAACAAGAGCCGCTTGTTGGGTTTCTCTTTGTAACGTCGCGTTGTCGCTTGGCTCCCTGTGTACCCCGCACAGCCTCCGCCGCTATCCACCCCCAACCCCCGCGGCTACAGCGCCACTGCGGTGCGGCGCCGACGCTCACCTCGTGGGCGAGCATGCGGTACAGTTCCTCCTTGGTGATGGCCAGTCGCTCGCGGTCCGTGCTGTCAATCACCACGATCACAAACTGCACACAACGGGGGAACACGGGCACACGACCAGAGTCAGAAGCTGCGCCTGCTGGTCGGGCGGCTCCGTGTGCGTTGGTGGACGGGGGAGCGTAGAGGCGTGGGGGGTGTCGGTCAATTACACCGGGAAGGTGGAGGCATCCAAGAGTGGGCATGGTAACGATCCACCAATTAACTGATCACGATCGATGAGTTACCGCACAACTTCACTGCCCCGCACCTCCGATTAGCACGGTTGGTTACGTGCGGTGTGAAAGAAGTTCAACATACATACACGTTTCTGCATTATTACATTCATAATTATTTTGTTCATGATATGTGTATGTAAAATCAGTCAAGTAAGCATCAATGATTCTTTAAATATTTACATTTCAGATAGGTTCATGGAAACAATGGGGTCATGGATACCCGACAGGCACTAGGAAGATTCTACACAAACCACAATGACAAAGAAACGATTGGTCCATGAATTAAACCGTGACGCCGAACTGTGACCAATCGTTGAATTGCCGGGGAGGGGAAACGTCGCACGCCTATTAGAGAGGTCAAGGGTTTTGGTTGAGGGGCAAGGTCAGGGATAAGTAGAAAGCAGGGGCCTGGGTTCGATCCCTGACTCAGGAGTTTATATTTCTCCCCCTGTTCTGTACTGGTTTCCGCTGGGTTTTCCGTTTTGGCTAAGAAGAAAACACACACACAATGGAACAGGTATTTGGGCAAACACCCCAAATGCTGAAACAAAATACCAAAAAATTACTCAATTGGAATTCGCAGCAGGAAGGGAGAGGGTGTACCGTTGCTAATCTGTAATTACCGCTCCTGGACTGTGAAAACTTGGCAGGGCCCTCCTGACAAGAGTCATGAGACTCGGCGAGGCTCTCCGAGGCAAGCAAGATGAATCCGAATATTTATTTATTTACACTGGAGGAATCCGATGAGCTATGAAGCTCTTTCTCGCAAATGTCCAGGAGGGGCGGGTCAGAACGTTAAAACAACAAACAAATACAAAAACACGGCAGCAAAGTATCGGCAAGGGAAACAAAGCACTTAAAATTCTATAAATACAACTAAAATATATTTTATCTTACAAGGTAAAGCCCACCGAGGTATTAACTTATCTTTCAGAAGCGACCTGGCCACAAATGATAGCTCAACAAAAGTGGCGTATCATCACGTGGAAATGTAAAGCTTCAAAATAATCCGAATAATCTCAATGCATATTTATAAATGTGGAAGGGGAAAAAACCCGGAGAAAAATATACGGGGGTCAGGGTAAAGTGTGGGGCATGTGCTTTAAGTCAACATCTGGGTATTGGCTGCGTAATGGTGCATGGGACGGGAGTCGGGTTAACATGAGGGCTTAAATTCCTCCGGTGGAACGCATGCTGGTACATCTCGTGAAAGGTGGTATATATTATATACGCACAGCCGCGCTTTGCTTTGTGTCCAACGCGGGAACCGCGCTCCCCCAATCAGCAGTATTGTATTCATAATGATGACGTCGTCCTGCACGATTTAAAACCGGAAGCAGATGGATGGCTTCACTATTCTGGCAAATCGCCCGAAGATGTTGGATGTAATTACGAGCGAAACGTCACAGTACTTCAATTCTAAATGTTGTGGATTCACTCTTCAAACACACCGGTGGGCTGAAGAAATTTTGTTAACGTGAAATTTTTTACTGATTGGCCGTGTCGGGTGGTGGAGGGTTGCGGCACATTTATACTTATGCGATCTAACCCAATAGCCTTTATTATGAATAATACTGGTCGCGAAAGCCTACGTGTTAAACTGTACTGTATGTAGAACTTCTTTAACACCGTACGTAGCCAACCGTGCTAAATCGGAGGTGCTGTACGAACACCACAATACGCTGCGCCCAACCGTTGTCAATGATACGACCCAACACGATGAATAGAAGCATTGGGGAATGTATGAATGTAACGAGTCAATTATTATAAAAAAAGTATGTTTAGACACATGATAAATGTGTGGAATGGTGCAAAAAGAATAGATTATTTTCGATTCGTTCGTGTAAACCCAACGGCCACTAAGCGGCTCTACATTCACCATGACTTGCTCGGTAAGCATGGGAAGATTCACTTAATCAATTAAAAGTTATTATTTCGATCAGTATGAAGGAATGGAATTTTGTGTGTACAAATCCATTATTAACCGTCAGGCTAATGGAACAAAGGAAGTGGAAACAAACGAGACGGACAATACAAACAAGGCAGCAGAAACGAGACAAAAAACAGAACTGAATGGTGAGCTATGACGTTGACAATGTGTCGACATGCACATGCCTACGACTGCACAACATACAACACTTCTCCAGTCACACGCTGCTCGCTGGCATAACAGCTTCTTGGCGCTCATTTTAACGGAATGTAATCAACCGTTCGCGATCATGGGTTGGCAGGAGAGAACGAGTGGAAGAAATGGGCAAAGTCAATGCCGATAAAAACGAGGTGGGGGAGTCATGGGTGAGAGAGAGAGAGTCGGGGTTGGGTAGAGACACACGGGCTGGGAGGCAGGGTGCCGCACCTCGGTGTTGGTGTAGTATGTGTTCCAGGAGGTGCGCAGGGACTCCTGCCCTCCGATATCCCACATGATGAAGTGCGTGTTCTTCACCACAATCTCTTCCACGTTGCTGCCGATCGTCGGGGAGGTGTGCACCACCTCGTTCATCAGGCTGCAACGGCAGGGCAGACACGGACGTAGTCAGGGAGTAAAAACATGATCGTGGATGCAGTGGAAGAACAACAGTCAAACAGATGGGGAAAGAGAAAGATGATGAAAAGACCAGGGATGAAAAGAGGCAGAGAGAGAGAATTAAATATCATGATATCTACCTTCAACGAATGTGTTCTAACATGAATGGTTGCACTGCTGTGCAAGAGATCGACTTGATCCGTCACCCCACGGCAGGATGCCGACAGCGCAATCGGGATGAAATTGTGAGAAGAAACAAAACTATTTTATTTTAAAGTGGGGGGGGGGGACGTTGGAGGATATCGTTTTGTGTTTTGTGTGCGGAGACTCTGGGCTTGTTGCAGGCGGGCTCACAGTACTCACAACTGATAGAGTATCGTCGTCTTCCCGGCATTGTCCAACCCCACCACGATAACCTTGTGCTCTGAAAATAAAACACAACAACCAACGGGCAGCGTTAGTGGACGAGCGACGGACTCGCGGCCACCCAACAGACATGAACGATTGTGAACAGGTGAAACGCACATGTGGAATGAAATATAACACCGATGTTAGTTTTTGGATAGGGCTGCACCATTTTTATTTACATACTTTGGAAATCTTTTTTTTGTTCTTGAAAAAAAAAATTGTGCTATCATGAATCTCTCTGCTTTTATGGTCTACGGAGCAAGAATACAATTTCAGGGGCTGTCAACAGCACTGCACACACAAGAGTTGAAAGTACAAGAGAAAATGTGCTGGAACTGAAATTAATAACATTAATGATTACATAAAAGCTATTGTTGATGTAATATATCAACAATGACTTACCGAGTAATTCGTAGGATATGACTACGCCTCCATTGTTGATACCATCAGAGATACGATGATGCTTGGAATCATCAATTAAAATCCATTTGAAGCTCACAACACATGCATCAAAACACACGCCTGTAAGAACTGGTGTTTTCCCCTTCATATACTTTGTAAGTAATTGACACGAGCTCTACAATCACGAGCTGCCACTATATCCACCACAATGTTCATAAACGAATCAATTATCAAGTTTAATCGCACACACCGAATCGTGAAACTTCGTAACGTTGCCAGGGGTGAGTCGTTAAGACTTTGACACTACGGATTAACCTCGCAAACATCCCCAAAAAATCTCTTTACACTGTGCCACAATAACCGCCGGTTTGCCACTAAGTGGTGGTGAAGTCACCACGGTGCTTGTGCCAAGCTATGTGCACCTTGAGCCCACGTGATGTGTGAGATCTGTATTTATTTTACGCTGTGCCACGCGCGTGCGTGCACACACACAGACGAGTTATTCGGAACGCCCGTCAGTCACCCGGTGGACAGCTCTGGCTGTACACTGCACTATAAAATCCAGGTGTCAAGGAATATACTTAAACCGGTGAACCCGGCACAGTGGGGGGGTGGGGGGGGGGGGCACCGTTCGCACCACCGGGACAAGCGCGGCACGATAAATAAATGAGCACCGATGACACCGAACCACGGGGCCCCTAACAAGATTTGCAGTGCACGGCGCTGTGGGCTTGGGTAGCGGGTGGATAAAAGGGCTCTGGGGCTGTGCGGGACGGAGCGAGGGTGCAGGTTGTGCTTATTAATTATCCACGAGGTGTGGCCGAGAGCGTAACTTGACCATTAGCGACCGCGACCCCCCCCCCCCCCGTGCTGCGATGGTGCAGAATGGCAGGCGGAGCTTCGGCCGGTACCAACACCGTCATCAGGGGCGCTGTTGTCATCGCCGTAACAATACAACTGGCGATGTGCAATTCACGTAGCGTCTGAACGCGACCCCCGTGTGCCCGATGCTGTCCACAAACGGCGGGGATGGTTTGTCTTGTTAAGAGTGCAGAGTCGGCACTTGATGGGAAGGGGGGGGTAGATTGGCGACCTTCGGATTGCGAGCCACGCATGGCCAACCGCCGCACCTACCTGGCCACTTATTTTATAATGAATGAGACACCGCAAACGAAATGGCAACTACATTTAACAATTACATTCTTTACCGTGCCGATGGAAAAATAAATGTGGGACTTTTCTCACATGACAATACAAGTCAACGGACGAGTGTGGGAATAGAGCAACTTGAGGCCACTGCACATTTCAGGTGGCGTGTGTCGGCTCATCTGCCGTACCGCCCAGACCTGACACACTGCTGTCGAGGACGTGAGCGGTTAGATCCAGGTCGATCAATTATTTGAGAGCAATGGAATGCAGGGAAATTATTGTCCGATGCCGGAGCAAGTTTGTGGGGAAACATGGACACTGTAAAAAAAAATATCAGTATGTTCATAAAAATGATTTCAACTTGTCATGCGTACAGTCTTCACTCGCTCTCGAAGAGAGACAGAGAATAACTCGGAGGCACGAGGAACCAAAAAAGACGAGCAGGAAGGCATCCGAGCAATAGCCAGTGGCAATTTCTCGGGCCATTTAACGAGCGTTTACACGTGGGAGGAAGCCGACGTGTGTGCGAGAGGGAAACGCTCGATGCCATACAGACAGAACAGGTTGAGTCGACATTTTACTGCACTGCATTCTCCTGGTGAGTCAGGATTATGGCACTTCGACACCTATGGGTAAGGGAGTTTCACAACATTTACGCGCGATCCACCAACACTTCGCTGCCTCCGATGCTGGATTACAGGCGTGCGAGAGCCTCCATCGCTCGGCGAATCAGGACTTACCGATATATAAAATATAGGAAGCAATTATTTCAGGGCATCCTGCATATTAATAGAAGCACTGATTGACGACTCATGAACAAAGCACAATGATGTATTCACTTACAGAACATTATACTCTTTGGTTCTTTCGGTAAAGTCACGTAGGTATAAAATAAAATTGTATTTATATTTTATTTTTACCTACGTGACTTTACCGAAAGAACCAAAGAGTATGGATTCCTGCAGTCACGAACGCTTCAAATCAAGACTACAGAACATTGCACAACTAATCATTGGGTCAAAGCTTCTGACCATGGGTTTGCTTGTTTTTGATAATAGCAACTCGACGGAACTGGAAGGGAAAGAATAATATTTGGACAGTGATTCGGACCACGTGACAAAGTACTGAATGGGAGGATTTTACGCTCCGTCACCCCTTTCTTTCTCTCTCCCTCTTCTGGGGAGAGTAGGGGGGGGTCATCACGACTATCGCCATCGTCATCATGACAGCCAACATCATTGTCATGAGCATCACCAATACCATCAGCACGGTCTCAGCCATCACCAACACAATTACCATGACCACCAACATCGCCATCTTAACGGCTGCTGTCATAATAATCAATGTGACCCCTGTTATCGGCAGGATAATTTTGTTCACTGAACTGTAAATGTGTTTTTTAAAAAGGGCGTCTTTTCTCCTACTTTATCCCCATCGTGCTATTATCGGTGTCATGTCGTGGGAAAGAATCTATAGGGAACTCGCGCACAGCAGCACAACCCTCAAGTTACAGAACGCTCCAAGAAGGTGGAAATCGCAAAACTACTTCTGAGATCCCTTCAAGTGACCTCTGGTGCACACAGAGTAATGTTTGTCACGTGATAGCCACAATGATACTTTTAATACCCAAGGGCTGGAATTTAGCCACGTTAATTGAAGAACCGATTTGAACAAATTTACTTATACATATGATGACTAAATAATAATTGGTGACGGGGCTGAACCACCAACTCACCACACTTGCCAGAGAACCCAGTTTGATTCTTTCGGTAAAGTCACGTAAATGTAGAGGTGTAGTAGTGGGTGACATCACGTCACGCTCGCCCTCTGAGAGAGTGGCGTCGCGGAACGTGACGTCAGGCGGGCCGTGGGGGACGGTGACGTCATGCCCCCAGGGGGGTATTTAAAGAGGGACCCGGGATGTATCCGGGGTTGGTCGGGGGTGTAGGAGTGGGGACTCGGCTAGTTGATCGTCACACGAGGCTAGGGGAGGCTGCTCCGCCCGACCGGCCGAAGTTGGGGCTAGTCCCGGCCCGGGGCAGGGAGGACAGCCGGGGTGTAGGGATCCCAGTACCCGGTCCCCTGGGGAGTTATCGGCTAGGGGGGGTTTTGGTTCGGCGTAAGCCCTTAACAAACTAGGCTTAAGCCCTTAATAAGCTAGGCGTGAGCCCCTAACAACAACCTGCCTCGGAGTCGTGAATTGCGCTACAACATATGTATGAAATTAAAAAAATTAAATCACGACGTTTCGGGCGCAACACAAGCGTCCGTCATCAGGTAGGACAACCACAGCAAGAAACGATTACTGAAGTGGGCCAAAGGGCTGCCGTGACAAGAGGATATAGCACGGCAGCCCTTTTGCCCACTTCAGCAGAGGTGCCAAGACAGCACCCATGAAAGTACAATGACATGGATAGTATTTTACAAGGTTGTAATTGAACTGATTTTGTTCAAAAAAACACCTCTTGAGGCCAAGAGGTAAAGTTTGACTGTGAAACGTGTAATTTGGAAAAACTCTGGGAACACGTGGTTCTCTTATTATGAATAAGAATTCCTGTTAAATGTTGGCAAGTTTAAACAAATGCAAAGCTTGTGTTATTTGTTTTCAACCGTGGCCTCTTAAGGGGTACGAACGTTCTTGTTAAACGTCCTAGTTTCTGGTGAGCAGATGCTACACGTTGAGGCAGGCCCACTATTTTCAGGAAGTGCTCTTTTGATGCCCAAGCGCTGCCACCGCGCCACACCGCGGCCCCTCATCCTTCTGCTCACCTTGGAGTTGTTGTAATGTCAACACCAGACCTTCCAGTTCTGCTCTCGCAAGTATCCCGACATGTGGCTCAACAGTCTTCCACTTCGATGCATCCCCAAAATGCCTGCCTTGCTCGGCAACCTGCCCCTCCTCCACCCAACCACTACACAGGTCCCACCACCTATCACGGTCTCCTTCTCCTCATTACGCCTAGAACAATCTGTTGCCATTTTATATTTGCCTTCAAAGTTGCTTTAGCCTATCCCCTCCCATGAAATTCATAGGACGCGAGGGGACACACCCGCACAATTGCATTCAAAGTGAAACACGCCGACCACAACAGCTTAGGCAGCCACGTGACGAACATCGTTGCCCGATATGCCGCGTGAGCATATCCAGCGAGTGGTGCAAAGGTCAGCAGGGCGGGGGGGGGTAAAGGTAAGGCGTTCTTGCGTGGAAGTGTAGTCACCGCACCGTATGTATGTACGTATGTTGAACTTCTTTCGCACCGTGCGTAGCCAACCACGCGAATCGGAGGTGCGCGGGAAGGACAACAAACTCGACACAAAAAGCAGTTCTAAATATATGAGTTGGCCGCGTTGTCTGACATTCGGGAAAGTGGTGTGGCCAGAGCCGGGCCACTTATGGCCACGCAGGACCCGTGCAGCGTTAAAATCAGGAGCAAGGCTGGGTCCAGCGCAATGGTATGTTTTACA